GATCAATCTCCGATTATAAAAGTTGGTAAAAATCTTCTATCTCCTCAGGTACACATTAGGTCCAGATTATAAAAATGAGTGTCATCATGGATTTGAAACACCACCTAGGAAAAGCGAAAGGAATTCCAAACAGCAGAATCTTAACAGGGTCACTTGACTCTTAAGCCTTAAAATTGGTTTTGCCTCCTAACACCGTCCTTATTACAATTCTAGCTTCAAAACAGTAAAGGATTAAAAGTTATCACTCACAGGACTAAAAGTTACCATTCATAATGCTTACTCAACACAGTGACCCAGCTGTAGGAGACACAATGTGGACAGGAACAAACACCCACTTCAACAGAGAATCGATGCATCACAATTCCACACAATGCAACACCTTAGAGTCAGAAGTGACTCGTAGCTGACCCTCAAGCAGGTTTTCTGGGGCTGTATATCGCAGGGGAGGAGACTGTCCATCTCTCTCCAGTAAAGCAGTTGGTGGATTAGTTTCACTCCTTGGGGTTAGCAGCACAACTCCCCACTCACCGGGCCAACAGAGCTCCCTCAAGTTAGCACAAACACCCCAGAAGGAAAGGGACTGGGCAAGGGGCAGCAATCTACCATCCAGGGTGAGGTACAAGAAACAAATAGCACTGTCAGAAGGGTGCTAGCACAGGCACACGCATTCTGGGGGGTGAGCGAACAGGTCTGTCCTGTTTAGCTACATTTAACACCAATGAAACTATCACAGACAGACACAGCAGCTTCTATCTCTGCTCATGTCAGGGCAAACTTCAGTTGGTTTCCTTCAGTGCAGATTTTGGAAGACAACTGTTTTAAATCTTCTCCATGGGCAGCTAAGGGCGATACTCCTTGCCAAATAACTAGCAAGCACCCAGATTGGTTTAACCTGAGAAGGGACAAGAGGTGAGAGGTGGGGGTCAAGGAAGTAACCGATGTTTATTCACCTGTGAAGGCCTGGATGGCGGGGAGGGGTATGAGAGGCAAACAGTTCGTTCATGGTTACCCCAAGGCCAGATTTCAGGTTCCCCACTTAACTCTGTGCCTAGTGCATGCCTGCGTGCACCAGGATGGGCTGCTTCGGGATTCGATCTCACAGATGAGGGTAAAGGACACTATAGACACTCTTTGGAGGTGTCTGGGGAATCTCCAGGCAGGCGCATGTACGCGCCCCGCCAACCTCGGCTGGAACTTCCGTCTCCACCGGTTTATCTGGGCCACATTCTGATTCACCTCCACCGGGGGCGGCGATCAGCGAGCGTCTCAAAGTTTCCGACAAGAATTGTTCCCCAAAGTTGAAAGATCAAGGATGCCCCATTTTGTCGAATCATAGGAAGGTAATGCTCACGCTCCTCTCACACTCTCCCCACCCTAACCAGAAACAGGATTGCCCTGTGGATGCAGCGGTCACCGGGCTAAGAGGACAGGGGCTCCGCTCAGCTTCTCCACAAAACCTCCCCCAAGGCCTAACACAATCCCAAACAGTTCTGAACCACAAAAGCGAAAGCAAGGTGACCCGCGACGGCGGCGGGGATTCGGCCACCGGGCCTCTCTGCTAAGGACGGTGAGGTCGGGCGGAAGCGGAGTGCGGGCGGTCACCCTGGCCCTCCACGGCTGATCAGGATGCACCGACTCGCCCTGAGATGAAATACATAATCCCTGGAACCACCCCTTCCTGAGCGAAAGGCTGGGGGATCCATTCCCAAGAGTTCCTTCCGGGCCGGACCACGCAAGTGACAGCAAGAGGACACTCGGCCCGCGCGCGGATCCGCTGTGAGCCCTCCCCACGCCGCCGGGCAGGGGACACTCGAGACGGCCGGGTGGAGGGGATCTGCGCGGGAGGGGATCTGGGGCCGCCTACCTGTGGTGGAGAGCACGGTGCTGGCGAAGAAGAGCGAGGAGCTGAAGTCCCAGTTCCAGTTGCCCGAGGTGTTGCGGAGCACGGACACGCCATAGCTGCTGGCCTCCAGCACGCGCGCCAGGAAGCGCTCGAGCCGCTCCTCGCTCAGGCACTCGTGCTCGGCCAGGAAGCGCCGTTTGGCCTTGTTCAGCTCCTGGCGCAGCACGTCCTCGTTGGGCAGCTCCACTGACGAGAAGACCACGGCGCCGAACACCAGGTAGAGCAGGTAGCCGGCCACCAGGAAGCCGAAGAACCAGGCCGAGCGGTGCCGCTCCACCAGCGGCGCGCACGAGGGCCCCGCGAGCGACTGCAGCATCTTCCCGCCGCGCGCGCCCGGGCCCCGCGCCCCACGCGCGCGCTTTGCACTCTGCTCCGCACCACGCTCGGCACCCGGGTCCCCAGCGGCCGGCCTGCCCCCCGGCACCGCCCCTGGCGCCGCGCCCCGCCCCCAGGGTCCGCCCCCGGGCCCTCCGGGTGCCCCCTCCGCCCCTTGCTCGCTCTCGCCCGCGCCCTGTTGCTGCTGCGGGGGGCTCTCGGCTCTCTGCCCCCGCCGGGATCTCTTCTTTCTCCTTTTCCTGCTTCCTTGTGGTAAAACCAGCCCGGAGGAGGCGGTGCTGGTGTCCTCCTCCGGCTCAGGTAACCCGAGAGCCAGAGCGCGCGGGGCCAAGTTGGCCAGGTTGCTGGATTGGGTGGAGGAGAGGCCCTGAGAGTACACGCGCCGAGCTGATCGCCCCGGCCTGCCTTGTGGACCCAGGTGTCCTGGTCTCCGATCCGGCCACTGCGGGGCGCGCGCGTCGTCTTCCCGCTGTGGGGACACCCGACGGGGCGCGGGCCCAGAGCTGACAACGTGTGTCGGGTGCGTACGGGAGGTGGGGTGACCTCTGCAAAGGTTCTGGCGAGCCCCTGGCCTCCTTCTGAGCCTCCACCTGTTCCTCCCTAACCGGAGCCCAGTAGATAGTCCTGTTCATCCAAACACCTCCTTTCCCGCTGGCTTAACCCCCGTGCCATTGTGACGGTGACAACTTTAGAATCTAGAACTGGAAGGTACCCTCCACGCCACCTCCCACGGACACTCTGTTTATCAGGAAGAAACCAAGGGAGACGGAAGTTCGGGAAAGGCCTTACTTCTAACCTTTAATTCTTTAAAATGTGGTCTTTTATAGTGAAATGAGATCCGGTGGGTGTGCCGGAGACCAGCAGCTCCTGCGCGTTACCTAGTGGGTGTGTGCTTGGTAGTTGTTGATGTGCAGTAGACTAGCTCCCCACTCTCACAGCTCTTACAGAGTGGTACCCCAGCCCTGTGATTGAGCCCTTTGTGGAAGGTACTTTTGGATACATTTCACTGGGTGCCTTTTTTCCGAGGATGGCACAGCATAGGTTATATGTTATAGGTCCAGTGGGCATAAGGTCTCTGAGTCTAGTCAGCGTGAAGGCCCATAACAACTACCACCAAGAATGATGTCCCTTTGCGTGGACTGGTCATTCCTGAAAACAAGGCCAAAGTGAGAGCCACAGGTCTTGGCATGCTTCCTTCTAGGGAACATTTGAGCTGTACTTCTCCGATTTGCTTGCTCTTGTGGCAGCTCCTGGTATGTTGGAGATTCTTTGCCAACACCGTAATTCAAAAACATCTGTTCCTCCGGGGTTTGAATGCATATGAGACTCTTGAAACTACCACAGGAAGAAAGCAGTAGAAAACATCTCTTCAATATTATCTTCAAGGGAGGCGTTTCCTTTAATTCCAGATAGGCAATTGAAAAAGGGGTCCTTTCACTCTGGAACTCTTAGTCCTCTGGGCTTCTTCTTAGGTGCCATCAAGTGGACTTGAACTCATAGTGACCCTGTGAACGACAGATGTGAACCTTGTCCTATCCTGCACCATCCTCACTGTCTCCACCATGCTCAAGCCCACTGTTACAGTCACACTGTCATGCTTGAGCCCATTTTCAGTCCATCTCACTGAAGGCCTTTCTGTCTTTCTCTGACCCTCCAACTTTCCCTGCATGATGTCCTTTACCAAGGACTGACCCCTCCTGACAACATGCTCAGAGGATGTGAGACCTACCTTCACAATCCTTGCCTCTAAGGAGCACCTGGTTGATACCTCCAAAACATTTGTTCTCTTGGCAGTCCATGGAATATTCAGTACCTTTGCAAACTCAATAATTCAAGGGCATTAGGTTTTTTTGTCTTCTTTATTTGTTGTCCCAACTTTCAAATGCGTAGGAAGCAATTGAAAATTCCATAGCTTGGAGTAGGCACACCGTATACTTTAGTTTAAACTTTAACTCCTTAGCACTTTAAAGAAGCCTTGGCAACAGATTTTCCCAATTCTACATGTCTTTCTGTACTCCATCAGCTACCCTCTTACTCTTTAATGATTTGTTATGTCTTTCTGCAGCTGTTTGTGGGCCAACAGATTGTCCCAAGTCTCTACTCTCCTCCATTGTCTTTGCAATGTGTGCTTGGTGAGCCTTGCCTCCCCAACCCTTCCATCTTGTTCCTGACCTGTTTTACACATTGAGAGACCTCGTTATTCCTAAAGCCATCTCCTCCTGCTGCCAGTGTGCCTTTCCTCCCTGTCCATTCACAGGCCTCACCTACTCTCCCTGTCTCCATCCCTTTGCTCATGTGGATCCTTCTACTCCATCCATCACATACTACCCATCCTTCAGGACCTGGATCACACAGCAGATCTCCAGGGAACCTCTTTTGTCCATTCGGATGTATTCTTTTTCTCTTCCCAAACCATAGATGCTTTGAATGTTACATTTTTTTGAATGCTTGTGAATAACAACTGCAAGTATATGGCCAGATTTTCATCAGACACTTAAATACATACACATAGCATCTCATTGAAATGAGACAAGGGTCTAGCTTGTTGAGGGTCTTCCTCTCATTTGCTCTTCCTCTGCCTTTCCAAGCATGATGTCCTTCTCCAAGCAATAGCCCTCCTGACACATGCCCAAAGTACATGAGATGAAGCTTCACCAGCCTTTCCTGCAAGGAGCACTCTGCACTTTCTCCAAGACATATCTGTTTGTTCTTTTGGCCACCCATGGGATTATGTGTAGGAATTGTTGAAAATCTATTTGTAAATTTTCATTCAAAGCACGATAAATAGTTAAATGTAAATTCTTTGATACTATCCCATCGTAAAATATTGTTTCTATTATCCTTGAAATAGCCGAATGACTGCTTCAATCAAGCAAGTATAGCAGAAATGACCCTGTAACTTTACAGGGCTAGATTATGAGGGCCTAGCAGCTTCCCACCTTGTTAACTGGAACATTCTAAGAGTCCTAGGATGCTAAAGAAGATTGCTAAAAATACAACAATTCCACTACTGGTTATAAATCCCAGAGAAAAGAGAGCTGCCATTCAAACAGATATAAATGTATACATCCTCATGTTCATAGCAGCATTATTTAACATAGCAAAAAGTGGAAACAACACACTGAGTCATCAATGGATGAAACTATAGTACATTCACACAGTGAAGTGCTGTGTGACACTAAAAGACAGTGAAGAATTTATGGAGCTCTGGTGGCCCAGTGGCAAGAAGCTGCACTGCAGTCCCAGAGGGGAGCAGTTCAAATCTACCAGATGTTGTGCTGGAGAAGGAGGGGTAATCTCCTCCTGTACCAGTCAGATCCAATTTGACGGTACACACACACAAAATAATAAAATTAAATTTTTTTTAAAAAAAAGATAAGAATTTATCAAACAATGCATAACATGAGTGTTAAGGACATTATTATGCTAAGCAAAAGAAATCACAGCAGGGCTATTTTGCTATAAACCACTAATAAAAAATTAAGGAAAGATTCACAAACTGCAGTGTTAGGGACTTATTGTTCAGAATGGCTTTCTTAGCCATTGACTTTGATGTTGCCATGTGGATGGGTGAGAATATGCAGCTAGGGTGTGTTTATTCACAAGGGAATTTGCTACTCCTGCCAATCTACAAAGGGATTGGCTAGTCTCACCAGTAAATTGAGCAGATTCGAGGGCAAGTTTTGAGAATCTCACCACCAGCAAAGAAGAAGCAAAATAGAAGGCAGTGTAACCTTCAGCGCCAGAGATTCTTGCATAGCCAGACACACAGGAGAACAGCAGAGAACCAGAGACTTGACAAGAGACAATGCAGACCTGGGGACTGCTGTGCCACAGAACCAGAGCTAAGAGCCTTTGTCTAACCTGGACCTCTACTTAAAGAAAGATGAAGCAGGAAATGCTCAAAATCTCTGGCAATAAGAGAGATGCAAATCAAAACCATAGATACCATCTCACTCCAATAACAGTGGTGAGTTTAGCAGGACAGCAAGTAATAAATGTTGGAGAGGATGTGGAGAGATAGGAACTCTTATACACTGTTGGTGGGATTGTAAAATGGTTCAACCACTCTGGAAAGCGGTTTGGTGTTTCCTAACAAAAGCTGAACATTCCATATGACTTGGCTATCCCACTGCTTGAAATATACCCCGAGAAAGTTAGAACTGAGACGCAAACAGAGATTTCACACCTGCATTATTCACCATCGCAAAAACTTATGAACAGCCCAAATGTCCAACCACAATAGGATGGATTGAGAAAATGTGGTACATTCACATGCAGCATGCAGGAGCAATGATTTCAAAAATTACTACATAGTTATATATGAGGGATTGGAGAGCAAGGTATGAGGATCCAAGGGGGCGGGAGGTAGGAGCAGAAGGGTAAGGATGGGCAAGAGGTTAATCATAGATGCTCACAATTTGATGGATAGAGGGAGGGATGAGTAAGGGAAATGGGAACAGTCTGGTGTGAAAAACAAGGTATACAAACTTTGTGAGCAAGCCAGTATAAATTTTTTTTCCAAAAAAAGAGCCTTTTGCCTGTTTTTTGGAGGACTAGTGAGGAGAGCTATAATTGGCAGGACAAAGAACTTTGAGTGCTTGTGAGCTCATTTTGGAAGCTGTCCTGAGGTGAGTCTTACTGCTGACAACATGAATTAGATAGAGCCTTTTAACTATGATTCTGTGTGGTCTGTGACCTATTGCAATGTATTTTGGACTCAGTAAAGCAGTAAGATTGGCGTTGAGATGAGTAGAAAGGGGTGCAGAAATGTAGGGGATGTAGCTGACCTCATGGGAATTGGTTTTCTTTTTTTATTAATTTTAATGGAAGTTTACAGGGACTTAGGGTTTCCAGTCATTCATTGTTGCACTTTTCTCCCTGCCCACCCTCTCCCGCCACTCCCAATTCACTCTTCTCCTTGAAACTAAAAAGAAAAACTCTTTCATTGTTATGCAATCCCTCCCCCAACGTCCACGC